TCTGTGACAAGAATCAGTCATGGATGCTTTATAGAGGAAGGCGGTTTTGAGGAACCATCTGTGTGCCATGGAAACACACATTGGAGGTGAGTAGAAGAGTGTACATGAGAAATGGATGAAAACCAAATCATTTAATGTGTTGCATATTTTCCCATTATAAAATGAGTTTTTTTAAAAAAAATTGTATCGTTTTATAAAACACAAAGTGAGAAGAAGTTGCTTTCAGTAATAGTTTGCCTTACTGCACTCTCTCTGACACTCAGGACGCTCTCTGATGCAGGGCAACTCTGGACACAGACGAAGCTGGGGCAGTCTGAGCAGACACCCAAGTCCACTCGGTAGAATACATTTCCCCCGCATTACTGTCTTACCAGTAGGAGGGCCTGCAACCCATGGGCACTCAAGAGTATATCATTTTGTGTTTAGTCTAGCCAAGAATAATTAAAACCATTCCCAACATATAGCACAGTCTATTTATCCAGCTATGGAGACTTGTCACGTCTTCAAATTATTCATAAACTCTTCTCTCTTTGGGATTATTTTTGTTTATGTTGCTGGTGTGTGCAAGTTTGAGTGTATATATGTTCATATGTGTGGGCACACATGCCTGCGCGTGAGGGTGGAGGCCAGAAGTTGACACTGAGTAGCTTCCTTGATCACTCTCCATACTATACATTGAGGCAGAGTCTCTCACTTGAAGTTTGTGGGTTTGCTGTCTAACTAGCCAGCTTCTTCAGAGGCTTTCCATCTCACCCACTGAGCTCTGGGATCGCAGGTGGGCCCCCATGCCAACTCGGCATTTACATGAATGCTGGGAATCCAAACTCTGATCCACATGCAGCAAGTTCTTTCTTTTCCCCTCAAAGCCATCTCTCCAGCCTGTGTCGTTGAGTTTTGGTTGGGGGAAGCTGTTTGTTTGTTTGGGGATTTTTGTTGTTGTTGTTGTTCATTTGTCTAGGTGGTTATGTGCTTTCAATTTTGTTTCCATTTTTGTTTTGAGACAGTGTCTCCCTATGTAGCCCAAGCTGGCCTGAGACTTGTGATCATCCTGCCTCAGCCTTCCAAGTGCTAAGGTTACAAGAATGCCACCTGACTTTCTGTAGAGAGGAGACTTGAATGACCCTTAAGTTCTTGATTAAACTGACCTCTTTCTTTAAGACTGACAGTTGTACTACACACCCCTCATTTACCTAATTTCTCTTAAAACTAAGACATTAGAGGAAAAAAGAAAAGTCCTCCAAATAGAAGAAGTCCATTTCTGTAATTATTTTTAAAAAGTCATATGCAAAAAAGTGTGGCTGATAAGATGTGCCATGACATTGTACATACATGACACCAGCAATAACTGGAAGCCGAGTGCAGGCGCTCAAAGATGAAGAACACAGACACATGAGCAACCCAGATGGAGATGACTCATTCCCCTTGGGAAGGGACCGTTCCAGTCCAAGCTAGTTCTAGAACACTCTGTTCAGTGTTAGCATCCTAGCCAATCTTGAGGCTATTTGGGTCAGAACCCTTAGTACTACATAGTGTCCTTCTCAATTTACATCATCCCCGTCAGTGCTGGAGACCAGCTAGCCTCTGAGAGGACTTCCTCTGGAATGCAGGTGACTAGTGACTTCTGGGCATCCTTGAATCACTGGGATCGTGGCACACTGCACATTCCTAAGCCTGGAATCAAAACACTCTCCCACAGACAGGCTACCCCAGCCTAAGAAGATCTGGCCCAGTTATGCCACTTCCCTATGCAACATCTGGAGGGAAAACAAGGGAGAAAAGTCAAGGTTCTTTTTTTTTTCTTATTAAAGTCACAGTAAAACTGGATTTAACCAGATGAGTCAGAATTTATGTAAGATATATGTGAATGAGTGTGTGCACGTGTGTGTGTGTGTGTGTGTGTGTGTGTGTGTGTGTGTGTGTGTGTTAAGCTGACATTTACATAAATTCCTGTGAAACCAAAACACAGAGCACAGAAGTGAGCCAGGGAATTAAGGTCTCTAGGAAAAAGAGGAAAAAAAAAATCACCCAACAAGATTTCAGTATGCCCTGTTAAGTTTGTATAAACTTGGTGGTGGGGTAAACCAAATAATTAATGGCTATGTAACCACCAGTCAATCATCTGTGTGGCTCGAGACCCAAAAGAACAGACATCTGCCTAGGAGCATGTTAGAGAGCAGTCTCCATGCCACATCCAAACTCATAGACAAATATTGAGAATGGGAGGGGCATTCTTGGTCGTTCTGCCTGGGCCAATCACACATGGCTCTGCGGGTTCCTGGGCATGGAATGCTGACTTGTTCTTAAGATTCGGGCTCCTGCTATGCTTGTTATTGTTGCTGTTGCTGTTGTTGTTTTGGGGTTTTGTTTTGTTTGAGACAGGATCTGACTATATATCCCTGTCTGGCTTGGAGCCAGCTGCATAGACCAGCTTGCCTTGAACTCACAAAGATCCATCTCCTAAGTACTGGACTTAAAGGAGTGCCCGCCTGACCCAGCTTTCACACCAGTCCTCGTGTTTAAAGGCTTTACTACTAAAAGAAATTTATTTTCACAGACAATGTAATCCACTTGATCATAAGGCAGAATTGTTAAAATTTTAACTTTTTGTTATTTTTTAATAGCATGCTCAAAACTTCTTTCTATAATGATTAAATGTAGGGGACAATAGGCGGTGATAAAAACAACTTTTTTTTGTGAGAAATACAACCAACGTTCTCTAGAGAGCTCTCAGCCATTTTCACATGCCTTCCAACCTGGCAGAAGTACCAGCCCACAGATTAAAAGACACATAACTAGCTTCTTGAAGTGTCTTAGAGGTCTCACTACAGAAGCCACTGGACAGTGAGAATGGCCTGTGTCTGGTGAGGCAAGATTTAGGTTACACACAGAATTAGCAAAATCTCACCTGAAGCCTTTACGTAGGACTAATATTTAAAGTGTGCAGATGCAGCCCTTAGCTGACCAGGCTAGGAGCCATGTTTCAGATCTCTGTACATAGAGTGCCATGCCATCTTCACTGCTCAATTTTGGCCTAAAGATCAAGGACAATCATTCACAGTTCTGCCAATCTCCCATCACCACGCTGCGCTCAAGGGATGCTTCTCATCTCGAGGCGTGTTTGTTATTATTCTTTTTGTTGTTTGGGTCTTTTGTTTGGTTGATTTGGTTTGGTTTTGTTTTTGCTGTTATTATTGTTTTGTTTTGTTTGCACTGCCTGTCTCTTCTTCAACTGCACAGGTTTGTTCGACTACCTCCTTCATCCTTGAAGCTGTTTATGCAGACGTATAACATAAGTTTCTCAATTACATTCTTATTCCAACCCCAGGTTCCCCAGAGAGACTAAATAAAAATTAAATTTCACCAATTACAGGCAGCCATGGAGGTCTTCAAATGCTTCACAATGTGGCTTCATATGAACCATTCACATCCCAAGTACAGCCCCAAATAAGTTATCTTTGATTGTCTTTCAGGCTGTGCGTCACCGTGCGGTGCCTCCCTCCCAGCCTAGGGCAGGATGATGCTCCTGACCCCTTCTGTTGAGCCGATGGGAGCATGCAGCTTGCTCTGGCCAATGAACGTGAACAGAGGTTTCACTTTCCTGTGTCCATTTTCTTGCCTGCCACAGTGGTCAAGGTATGTGTGACTCAGCCTCGACCCTGAATAAAGAAGACAGCACTGCAGAGAAGAGATACAAAGGATGCAAACAGAACAAACAAAAGCCAAAGTTGAAACAAAAGAGTGTTATTTCAAATTACTGAGCTTTGGGGATTGTCTGTTATGGCGACCTAATGCCCCTGACACTTTAGTCCTAATGAAATGTTATTTTTTCACACAAAAGAAACGTCCGGGGCACTGAGCATCATGGCAAATCTGAAAGAGAAGAAACGTGGGCTCCATCTATTACATGAGAGCGTGTGCATGATATGTAGATATGTACGCAGGTTATTGACAGGCACTTTGAGCAGTTGTAAAACTGCTCAAGCCCTTAGATAATCCACAATCTCCAAAATGTCATAGAAAAACAAGTGCTTTGACTTGAACCCATTTGTCAAAATCATTTGCAGGGTCACATTTCCAGGACCAAGTCCATTAATCAAATGGAACTTCATTCTGAGGTACCAAACAAACTAACTAGTTATTGGGCTCCTCTGTCATTGAGGAGGGCCAGGCTGACCCAGGAGGAGATGATTACAACAAAAAAAGAGGAGCATCCGGTCATTAACAGAATTAGAGAGCCCTAACCAAGTCAAAGGCCACACGGTAGCCTCTCACTTCAGAGAGTATGAAGCCAGAGCTCAGCATATGTATTGTAAGGAAAATTTCAAATACACGATATTTGATTGAATTCCTAAGGTAAAAACCTTAGGGGGATGTTTTGGGGGTCTGGAATGAGTAACTGAACGCTGTGTTCAAACGGGGCCTCATAAACTTGATTACGCTTATACTCTACCTACAACCTGCACACTTTCCCGCCTTTGAAACTCTGTAGCTCTGAAGGATTTTCTTCCTCACTGCAGAACAGAATTGTCTGAGTTTCTCCTTTAAGTAAAGAGAAAACTGTCCGTTTTCAATTTGCTTTGAACTGGTGAGTCAGGGCGCGATGGATGATGTCATATGTTAGCCTGCAATCCCTGGTATGGTTCTCGGGGGCTCCCTGGAGCTCTCCACTCAGTCCTGTCCGGTTTCCGTGGCAGACAGTACTCCCCGGGTTCCATCCTTTCTTCTTTGGCTTCTTCCCAGCCCCAGGCCAGGAGCCTGGCTAGCAGGGGATAAAACAGGAAGTCTGAGCGCTTCAGCCGGCTGCGAGCCCCCTAGTGTTTTCCCACTCGGCATCCTGGCCTGGTTCCCCAGAAGTACAAACACACGCACAGAGCCCCATTGTTGCCGCCTTCCCCGGCCCACTGGTCCTAATATGGAATGCAGCAGGAAACCCACGATTTCCTGACGCTCGCTCGGCAAGCTGGAGGAAACGAGGGGGGAAACTCCGTTTAAAAGCCTTGCCCTCCTCCATGTTAGCTGTGTGCTGGAAAACCAGGCAGGAGTTATCCAAATCCCACCGTGTCATCAACCGGGCTGGGGTTGGGGAGGGCAGAGTGAGACTCTCAACAGGCTGCTGCAATATTTAGACTGCCAGGAAGTCCCGGGAAGTCTGTGGAAAGGAGAGCGTCTTAACTCCAGCCATTGAGGGAAAGGGACAGACCTTTTACATCCCTCCTCCCAAGAGTGCGTTCCCCTTCTCGTCCAGCATGGTGAGCAGCGGGGCTGGTGTGTGTCTGGGCCGTGCCTGGGAGAGCCAGGCCAGCCACAGTCAGGTCGCCTGAGCCGCAGTCTGGGGCCGGTCCCACCGCTCCATGCGCTGCCGAAGCCCAAGCAGCAGCAGCAGCCGGAGCCGCCAACATGAGCTGCAGAGAGGGGACTGACAGCAGCTGCGGCTGCGGTGGGCGCGACGAGAACAGGATCCTGAAGTGTGTGGTGGTCGGAGACGGTGCGGTTGGGAAGACCTGCCTGCTGATGAGCTACGCCAACGACGCCTTCCCGGAGGAGTACGTGCCCACTGTGTTTGACCATTACGCAGGTAGGAAAAAGTGGGGACCAAGTTTATCTAAAAGAGCGATGGGGATGGGGGCACAGCCCAAGTTCAGAAGGGCCTGGTTTACCCAGAAAGTCAGAGTCAGATGTGGGGCTGGCAGGTACCAGGTTAAAGCAAGCCAAGAAGGTTGTTAGGAGACTGGGGGAGAACCTGCGCATCAATTTACATGGTACCGCCTTCCCCACTTGAAGCAAATGTGTAATCCTGGAAAATATCCTCCAGACCTCACAGCCAGAAATTTTTCTCAGCATTTTCCTCTGAACTTTCCTATACTTTTCACGAAGATGCTTTTATGTGTGGTGTAATTGCATAAATTTCCATTTAAAAAATCACCACTAGACACGTGGGAAGAATGCTCTACTCTGTCCACTTTAGCTACTACTTCGTGCTGGTCATAAACAAAAATGTTAAGAAAACCAGCTTTTTTTTTTCTGGATTATTTTGGGCCTAAATTTTGTACTTTCTCTCTTCTGGGGTGGTAGGCGAGGAGGAAGGTGCCCCATTCTTTTAAATATTGAGTGGGAAATTAAGCAAAAGATCGCTATGTTTTTAAAAGTAAAAATTCAAATGTAAATAAAATCACTTCGGAGTGTGTCCCCAAAAAGATGAATTTTAGTAGTCACAACTTAACTCTTTCTGAGATTTCTAGTTTGGGAGGTTGGAACGCTTGTGGAAGTTTCGGTCAGCATCCTGCTTTGGTTCCCATCTTGACTGTGACCCCGTAAGCTTCCCCTATGGGAATTGATGTGTTTCTCTCAGCTCACTGTGGCCTCGGTTTTATAACATCTTTTTGAACGTGGCAATCACCAAAGAATTATCAGGGATCTGGGGTCTTGGGGGGTCTGGTCTTCACCTTGGATTGGGATCGGGATTCCTGTGGAGGAAGCCGCCCACATGAAGCCTGCCTGAGTCTCTGCTCTCTGGTCATTTGAAATCCTCCCTCCACAGGAAGTAGCCGCTTCTCCGGAGTGCCATAGTCGCCCCCATCGCCCCTTCCTTTTAAGTGTACATATTTGTGGTGGGGGTACACCGTGGACAGGCAAGAGATTCACTGCTGGGGAGGGCGTCCATTTCCTAACAAGGTTTTTTTTTTATGTTTGTGGAAATTACCTGTAAATTTTAATGCCAAGTCTTCCGAGCATTTCTGAAAATGTACTGAGTGTGACCAGGGAAGAAGTTTTTAATGGGGATGGAACAAAGATTTAAAATGGAGTTTTATGTTTATGGGGGAGATGTGAATTAGAGGATTCTGTACCTTGAGGCAGGGACTCTGGTTCTGGTCCCGGATTGTCCCAAAAGTTGTTTCTCCTGTATCTTCTTTATGCCACAAAGGGAAGTGGAGAGACCCTTGGTTCAGGAGCTTCCTGATCAAAGATGGAACTGAAAATCTCCTAAAAGGAAAGGCTCCTAATGCCTGGGAAATTATGTCTCCAGATACCCATCCCTCGGGTGAGCCAATTACAGTCATGTTGACAAGAAAGACAAAACCATCTTTGGAAATGAAGTTAGCCTATTAAAAAAAAATGAGGTCAAAACAACTAGACTTTGCTAGCATCGAGCTATTTTATTTTTCAATTGTAATCACAATGACTAGTGTTTGAGCACCCAAAACCTCTCAAAGAAGTTTTAATATCTGGGTTTTCATGAACCAAACTGTATTCTCCCAAGGACTCACGGCCCCTAGACACAGTGCAGTTCTTTGCCCACAGTAGGCATTCCTGAGCGCGGTCACTTGGGTTTATGCTACACGCGCTCTCATACGTGATCATCTCATGTGCTGTCCGTGTGGTTAAAGAGGGAAGAAAGGCTTGAGCCACAGTTCACACTGGAGACTCGGAAAGTGCTGATTTCAATCCCAAAGACCTCACCCAGCTCTTCTTGCTCCGGCTGAGCCTGTAGGTGGCCACCAGGGAGCAAATCAGTGCTAAAATAAGCAAAGCCCCCCCCCCTTCCCCATCTGGATCCAGTTTTCATTCCCTGGGTCCTACTGACCCACTCTGATATGACAACAGGAAACACAGCTGCTGTGTCTTTAGAAAAGTGTCCTTGAAGTCAAAAGCAGCCTGTCTCTTGGAGATGGCCCATCCAGGAGACTAAGTATGTAGTAATAAGGACAACATACAACAATACCGCATGATCTACTTCTAATATTGCCTTTTTCATTTACTCTGTGGCCTTGAGAAAGTTACTTAACCTCTCTGTGCCTCTGTTCATAGTGATAATAACAGGGACAATAAAGGTTTTTGAATCGTTTTCAAAAGCAAAATGAACCCATGTGTGTAAAGATCTCAATGCCCAACACACAATGTGGGGTCAGGTATCATATCAAGGTCTGCTGTGCACATGATGATGAAATCAAATAAAAATGTTATCAAAAGATAAGAACTACAACAAGGAGGAATGTAATTGCAAGCGTACGCTGTAATCAAAGGACAGGGCGGGATAGTGTGTATTATTATCCTTATACAGTAGCTACCGCGGAGCTGAGACCTGACAGCCCCGGCAATAGTAGTAAATGGGGTGTTAGCATAAGAGGTAAAATACCGGTTTCACATAAGTAATCGCAGAAGAAGAAAAAAAAGCTGGGGGAAAAGGCGAAGTTTTATTACTCCAAATTTATTTCCCTGTCCTTCCTAACTACCAGAATCCCAAAGGACACCAACTCCGCGTGGTATTCCCAAACTTTCTGAGGAGGGTCCCCTTGATCTGTGTCGGGTGCAGCTCTCGAAATGTGTTTACATTGCCAGGGCACAGCCGGCACCATCCTGTCATGATTTACGAGTTTCCTTACTGCCACCCCCACCCCCTCCTGTGCTGTGACTCTCCTTAAAGGAAGGTCAACTCTTTCCACATCCAGCCAGCCTCTTGTTCTGTGGCTTTGATGGTTCCTGAATCCCCTTAAAGAACATTCTTAGCTTGCTTTCTGGAACACCTCCTCCTGTTTCTGTCCACACCTCAGCAATTCTCTTTGCCCCCTCTGTGCCTCCCCTGTCTCCCAGGGGCTCAGTCACAACAGAGTTCAGTGGTCAGTCCCTTGGTTCCCTTCTCTAGTTAGCCTCAGAACACGGGTGTTGGTATCTAAGGTCACAGCTTAAAATACCATTGATACACTACCAATTTCATATTTATGTCTGCACCCCAACACTCATCTATGCTACTGCCTCACTGTATTTATAAATCTATTAGGCGTCTCCAGCCAATGTTTGTTTTAATTTTCCCATCTGCTCTCCCGCCTCCTCCTTCTCCACATCAGATCGTCACAGGTTTCTTCTGCCCAGTGACAGAGAACAAACACCAGTCTTACCTGTGACTCCTTTCTTCGCCGTCCTCCCCCCTCTCCATTCAACCATCAGTTATTATCACTTGCCCCTTCACATGAGCTCAGCCTTCACAACGCACCAACCACCAAGCCTGGCCGCTTGCCACCACCCTAATGCCTTTTCTCCTATCCACACCACCATCATCTCTCATCCACGCTGCTATAGCAGCTTCCCAACTCCCTGCTTCAAAACCTGTTCCTCCTTGTGTCTCCACCCGGCTGGCGGGGGGAGGGGAGGGGACATCCACAACCTCAGCTCCTCGGTCCCTTCCCTCCACACTCACGCTCTTCCTTTGCTGTGGTGTACTAGGTGCCCAGTGACTTTGTCTATTTTCCCTCCTCCAATCTCCTGGCACTGTTCTCGGTATTTCTGCTATAGCCATGGTAGCCTTCTTGCCGTTTCTCATGGAAGAGTCCTGAATACTTGGCATTTGCTCTTACCCTGGCCTGACGCCGCACCCCCTCCCAAATCTGGCCTAGCATTGATTGCCGTATAATTTAACCCATGTGTCTGTGCTTGTGTGCTCACAAAAACCCACACTTGTACATACACACACACACACACACACACACACACACACACACAACACATGACTCTGACCTCTCTCTTATTCTGTTATATCTTCCTTTGTCATATTTAACACTACATGACATTGTGGGTTTATTGGCTATTGTCTTAGCTATGGTTTCTATTGCTGTGGAGAGACAGCATGGCCACAGCAACTCTTATAAAGGAAAAACATTTAGTTGGGTTGGCTTGCATTCTCAGAGGTTTAATCCACTCTCATCATGGTGGGACATGATGGCATGCAGGCAGACATGGTGCTGGAGAAGTCGCTGAGAGTTCTACATCTTATACAGGTGCCAGGAAGTGGTCTCAGATACTGGGCGGTACCTCGAGCCTATATGAGACCTTAGAATGCCCTCACAACCGCTGGGTTGTTGAGTTTAGCATACGACAAGAACACATCTTCCTACTCTTCAGTTTTGGGACCAACCCCTTACTGATAAAATATTCCCATCCATTGACATCTCAAATGGCATATGACATCAGAATAAGACTCCATCTGGGTTCGGTTGGATTCTGTGCTAAGTTAGGTGGTGTATGTGTTGTGTATGTTGAGGCGTCTGGTTGTATAAACTAAGTCGACTGCAGTTGAAGCCCATCTCCACACACCACCACCTCACCATTTGCATCATGCCCTGTACTGAAATGCGTCCTGTCCAAAGGGCCTTTCTCCTAACACTCATCCCACCTAGGGCTCTCTCATCTGAAGTTGGGAGAAGCGACTTCCGTTAGGGAAGTCACTCTAAACCAACGCTTGCAAACCCAGGCCGCCTGTGCAGGAAACTAACACAATTCATGGAAAAGAGGAAAAACCAGTTACTCTGTCAGCCATGTGAGATATAAAAGGAAGTTGTTTTCACAGAGAACTGAACGCTGGTTCTAATTTTTTCCACCCAATTGAATGGCAGAGTGACAAGGTCGAGTCAGAAGCAGCCCTCACAGCTAGGACAGTAGATGGAAATGATGTCAAATAGACAGGAATAATAAACTGAGTAAAAAACAAAGTGCTGAGCCCACAGAGAGCTTCTCCAGGGGCTAGAGATGTAGCCCCATGGTAGAGCACTTGTCTGTCAGAAATAAGGCTCTGAGTTTCGTCCA